TTTTTTCCCCCAAAGCCCCAGTAGATAGTTGTATGTCATAGTTGCACATCCTTCTAGTTGCTGTATGTGGGACGCGGCCTCAGCATGGCTGGAGACGCGGTGCGTTGGTGCACGCCTGGGATCTGAACCCGGGCCACCAGCAGCGGAGCGCGCACACTTAACCGCTAAGCCACGGGGCCGGCCCAACATTTAATTTTAATTTACATCAATTGCTGTCTCTTAGCAACTCTCTTCTCAATTGATTCCTTTTTATTTTTTGAAATTTTTCTTTGTTGTTTTATCAGTTAATGATATTGTAAACATTTTAACATAATAGAAATGTATGATTTAGAAAGCGAAATTTCCCCCCACAAAACCCAATCTCAGCACTAACCACTGTTTAAAAGTTAGAACAAGTACTTTCAGATTTTTTTTTCCTATGCATGCACTGTAGAAAAACCATAGAAATGGAATCATAAACACTCTGTTAGGCAACTTTTTTAACCTAATAATAATATATCAGGGACATCTTTCCTATCATTGTCTGTGATTTGTCTTTTTCTTTCAACCATGTTATGGGTGGACCACAATTGATTCGCCCAATCCCCGTGAATGGCATCTGAGTTCGTTTCCAGCATTTACTGTTACATTAGCACTGCAATTAGCATCCTTATACTTCCTCGCCCATTGGTGTGGAAATTATACTTAATCTTAGAATTGAAATGATTAAGTCCAAGATCACTACGACCAGATTCTTTTCAAAAACAATCATAAGCTTGATTGGTACCTGCCAGGATCCAGACACTATGCAAGACATAGGGGCCTGGGGTGGGAAGAGAGAGGAAAACCAAACATCAAATGTCTGCTCTTCGGGACAGGGCATCCTAGGAAGGGGGACAGAGAGAGAGAGAGATTGCCAACAATAGGAAAGTACCAGTGCCACATTCAGGTGCCTATAAAGGGCCAAAGGAGCAACAGGAGGAAGCGGTTCTGGCTGGGAAGGGAAATACGACTTTGCAAAAGAGGCTGAACCTTGAAGGAGACGTCGAGGGTGACCAGTAGATGGGCAAGGGTTGGAGAAGGGGTTTCCAGGCGGAAGGAAGGACATGAGCAATGGCACAGCCACCTGGGAGGCACATCGGGGTCAGGGAAGAGAAAAGTGGGGGTGGATTACAGGGTAGAGTGAGAGGCAGGGAGGGGCGGAAAGTGGTGCTGAACATGGACCTAGATTGTAAAAAGACTTGAATGCCAAACTAAGGTATTTTAAATCGTTCTGAGGCAGTGAGGAGTGGCTGGAGGAGAGTTTCTGAAAGATTTTTAAGTGCTCACTGCAAGTACAGCTGAGGACGAGGTGGGGACAATTTCAGTACATAACTCCAGCAGAAATATACAGAGGAGACTGGAGGAGGGTGCAGCGGGAGCTGGGACACCCCCCCGGATGCTGCGGCCACCATCCAGGCACCAGATGAGGTCCCAGCCTGTTGACAGGCTATTGCTAATGGAGCAACCCCAGATGTCTGGATTTTGACACTTATCCAAGTCTTCTAAAAACCTGCATAGTGGAAGTAGCGTAGCCAACTTATAAATAAGGAAGCGAAACTCAGGGAGATTAAGTAACTCATTCGAGGTTTCCCAACTAGTTTGTGGTAGATGTGTCTTTCCGAGTCCAAAATTCATTCTCTTTCTCCTATGGCATGCTGTCTTCGTGGACTGCGACAGTAGGAGAGGAAAGAAGAAAATCATTTTGAGGAGCATTTTTGAGGCAGAGTTGACTGAATTGGTTACCAATCAGTTGTGGAGGGAGAAGGAGGGGACGGGATCAATGAAGACGCCAAGTTCTCTAGTTAGGTGCACTAGTGGCTTTGTGGGTTTGAAGAGCATAAAGTTAGTTCTGCTGATTGAATCCTACGTTACTTTCTGATGGGTGCTGTAACAAATTACCACAAACCTAGTGGCTTGAAATGACACAAATTTATTATTTTACAGTTCTCAAGGTCAGAAGTCCAAAATGGTCTTACTGGCCAAAATCAAGGTGTAGGCAAGGTTGCATTCCTTCTGGAGGCTCTAAGGAAGAATCTGTTTTCTCGCCTTTTCCAGCTTCGAGAGGCTGTCTACATTCCTTGGCTCATGACCCCGTTCTCCATCTCCAAATCTCTCTCTAACACTAACTCTCCTTCCACCTTCTTTCACTTATAAGGACCCTGGTAATTACACCAGACGCCCCTGGATAATCCAGGATAAACTCCCCAACTCAAGATCCTTAATTTAATCACATCTGCAAAGTCATTTTTGCCATTAAGGCGACATGTTCACGGGTCCTGGAGATTAGGACATCAACATCTTTGGGGGGCATTATTCTGTCAACCACAAATGCAAACCTCAAGTAAACGAAAATAGCTTCAGGGAGAAGGTCAGAGGCGTGAGGAGGCAGCACCTGCCTGCCTGGTGCAACAGACCTGACTCCCTCCACCCCACAGAGACCCCCGGCCTGGCCTTGAGGCTCTGGGGCCATAAAATCGTCAACAGAGGCTTCCACTGTTCTTCTTCCCTTCTCTGTGGTAAGGAACACGTGGACATTGCCAAGGACGGAGAGAGTGTCTGAACACAATCGGCTGAAGTGGGGTCAATCCATAGAACAGCAAAACCGATTCCACTTACGCTCGTCTCTAACCTGTTCCACTCCCATCAGGCCTCTGCTAGTCTGTCTACGTGACCCTCCACTAGAGGGAGGAAATGCCGAAGAAGAGTGAGTTCAGGGTGGAGGAGGTGATGCATTTAGTTCTGTAACTATTTCTTTGGGGGTGGAAATAGCCAGTGTGTATTTGCAAAGAGCAGGCAGGAGCTAAGGTAAGAATGTGGGTCACAAAAATGGATTTGGGAACCATCAGCATATAGACGGTAACTGAAACCATGGAAATGGAGGCGTCACTCCGTGCGGTGCGCGAGGGGACAAGATGAAGGCTGGCGAGGGCCCTGGGGACCCCTGTGCAGCTGGCTCACACTGCTTCATAAGAGCTGCTTTGGGACTCCTCTTCCCCACTCTGTGTTCCGTGACATCGCGTTGATAGCCTGAAATCAGCCATGGGGGGAGTATTTACACTACAGAAGTGGGAAAATACCACAAACCAGAGATTTTTCTTCCCCCAGAGGGCTGCTTGTTAAATGTTTACCAACACACCACTGTTTACACTGAGATCTGAAGAGAAGAGAAATCAGTAGAGACAGAGTAGTCAGAGAACAGCGTTGAGGATGAGGAAAGAAAGTGTCAGGAAATCAGGAGTGTCACATGGTGCCATCAGGTCTAGGGAGAGGAGGACCAAAGAGGCCAGAGCATTGTCACTGAGGGAGCTGATGTGGAAGCTGGATGGAGGAGAGGGTGGACGTGAGGGGTCAGCTAGGGGGTGGTCGGGAAGACTGGGGACCCTGGTCCAGTCCCTGGACACCAGTCTGGGGCCATGTGAGCAGGGGGGTCCCAGGCCAGGGAGGTTCACAGGGCAGGAGCTGTATCTTGAGATTCTGTTTTCCAGGCTGTTTCTCTATCCAAGGCCCAGAGTCCGTGAGAGGCCCAGAGAAGGGCTCAGTGACCGTGCAGTGTCACTATAAACCAGGATGGGAGATCTACAGAAAGTGGTGGTGTCGAGGAGCAAGGTGGGATTTATGCAGGATCCTCATTAAAACCACTGGATCAGAGCAGAAGGTGAAGGAGGACCGTGTCTCCATCAGGGACGATCAGAGAGACCGCGTGCTCACCGTGACCATGGAGGAGCTCAGGCGAGACGATGCAGGCACTTACTGGTGTGGGATTGAGAGAACCGGAGTGGACCTGGGCACACGAGTTAAAGTGGCCATTGACCCAGGTAAGAACTTCCTCGTCTACACTGTGAGCCCTGATGCTCAGGACTGGAAGAGTGAGGGCATTTCTCCCTCTTCCCCAAGGGCAGAAGGGGAATGACTGAGTGCCTGAGAGCAATTGTGTGAGAGAGACAGACAGACAGACAGATGGAGGGGAAACGAGAGAAACTAAGGAAGACCAGCAGCCCTGCCCCGCTGTCTCCATCCCAGTCCCTGAGGTCTCTCCGAGGTATCCAGCTGACGCCCGGAAAGGCTGGCAGAGATTGGGGTGGGGCTGGGGACATGGACCCCGGCTTCAGTCACCCGTGGCCCAGCCCTGCTCTCCCAGGAACTGGACAACCCTGACAGCCTCACATTCTCGCACCGGAGCCCTGGGTGGGCCGCGGACATCTGCAGAGGGTGGCCGGCATCACTCTAGGAAGTGGTCTATCTCTGGTAGTCACACCACGGACCTGTCATTACATGAAGGGGGGCACCTAGGGCAGCCCAGAAGGTCCCAGTGCTGCACCCTGGGAACTTGGCCAACCCAGAGTGGGTCTGGGCATTTATAGTGCCTCTCCTCTCTGGGTCCCTAGCCGCCCCCTCCTCTACTTTGTCTGCATAAGAGTGAGCAAGGGGTAAGAGGGAGCCAGCGAGGAGCTCGGGTAACAGTGGACACTTTAAGGACAAAGGAAGGCTTTGACTGTTAATTAATGTCAGGGGCCTCTCTGGTTGCCCTCGGGTTTCCTCTGGGCCTTGACTCCATCAAGGGATTCCAGGGTCTTCCTGGCAGCACAGCTCTGCTGCTGTGGCTGGTGCTGGAGAAATAGCCCCTCTCCACTTCCACCCAGCACACGTGTGCCCAGTCATGCCTCAGCCTGGCGTCTGCTTAGCCATGGTAGATGGTGATGGGCAAATAGACACACCAACTTTAGAACAAGCCCATTTATTGCTGGGTTGGAACCAGAGAGAGACACTGGATGGAGTGGAGTCCAGAGAGGGCTGGCCAAGCAAAACTTTCCAGGGCTGCCGGGTAGGAGAAGCCACGATCTGTGGGGACAGAAAAGGGATTGATGAAGATGTGAGCAGGGACTGAGACAGGCTAAAAATGTGCCCCCGGGGGAGCTTTAGGGAGAAAGGCATTTAGGGGTCTTGGGTGGGGGGCTCAGGGAGGCACCAGCCTGTAAGGCCATCAGGGGCCTCCAGAGGAGCTGTTCTGACTGCAGTCACCTGGAGCTCAGCCAGGAGCTACCTAGCTTGACCCAAGATTGCGACCCTGCAGAAAAGAGTTTGCCAGGCCTAGGACTCAAACAAAAGGTCGGTCACGGCTACTCAGCGCCAAGCTGGTCTCAGGAACCCGTGACTAAGCTGCTCACCATAAATAGTCAACATAGTTTCTCTTAAAATGTTCCATTCCTCACAGTCGCTGTTCATTATGTAACCTAAATGTGCCCTCTGACTCACTAGCCTTCCCGAGGCCACTCCATTTCCAGAGTCATCTGTTCTTGAGCCCTGCTCAGGCACTGCTCGGGCAGAAAGGACCAGAGATATTTTTCTCCCCAACCAACAGTCCCACTTAGAGGGATAAGAGGAGAGAGCATGAAAAGGTTTCTCTCTCTCCGGGAGAAACCTCAGTGCTTACTCCTATTCAATTTTTACTTCTTGCTACACCTGAAAATGATGGAAAAAACGACTGTGTTGTGATTCAGATGACTCAGTAGAAAAGGGAGAAGCCTTATTCCAGGGGAAGGGGGGTTTCCTGGTGAGGTTGGCCGGGTGCGAGTGGAGTTGCGAGCCACGCACGAAACCCCAGGCTGTGCTGATAACCTGTGGCCGACTTTGCCTGTCTCTAGAGGGAACAGTTCTGAGCACACCAGCAAGCCCGCCAACTGCCAACAACCATACAGGAGTCTCCTCTGGCACCCCCATCAGGTGAGTGGCTGTGGTTCTTTCTACCGCCCCTACCTCTCCTATGGGCCTCTCCTATGAGGCAGCTGAGCCCGGACACCCCTCTGCCCCTGTGCTGTCACCTGATGCCAGAGCCTGTCATAGCCAGAGTCAAGGCCCAAAGCCCACCCTCCGTCTCCCTCCTGCCTGTGTCACTCGTCATCTGCCATCTTCCCATTCTAGTCCTCACCAGAAAACCACTGGCTCTGCAGAACTCTTCTCTATAAGCACCAGCTGCCCATTCAATTGTCAACAAAAATGGGTGCCAAGGGGAGATAAGACACCAGTCTCCACCCACAAGGCATCAGGTGCCACAGAGCAGGAGAGTGAGTTAGCAATCTGGAGCTGGCATTGGCGGGAGCAACGGGAACCTGGGGGCAGCAAACACTGCCTGTCGTGAGTGACCCACAGGCACTTCCACTGGGCCCAGATGCATCTCAGGCAAAGGGGAGTCCCAGGAGGTGAAATGAGAAAGGGGATGGACCCAGAACAAGGTGAAATCAAGACGCTGAGGCTGCTTCTGAGGAGCCATCGTGGTTGAGCCATTGAGGAAGTTCATGGGGGTCTTCGCAGTGGGGCTGCTGGGCCTTGCCTCACAGGCGTTGCTGAGCTGGCTAATGGCTCCACAGTGTCAGGGCATGACAGGCCTGGAGGGGCCCAGGGCTCTGATCACTCTGCCTCCTCTCACAGGACCCATTACATGCTCCTGGTATTCGTGAAGGTGCCCGTCTTGCTCATCTTGGTTGGTGTTGTCCTCTGGTTGAAGGGGCCCCAGAGGGTCCCCAAGGAGCAATGGGAAGAGCCTAGCTATACAAACTTGTCCTCTGACCTTCTGACCAAGGACACAGCCCCTTAGACGGATGGATGGGAAGAACCTTCTGACCCTGGACCCTATTTGCAGGGGAGACACAGGATGTGGAAGAAATGCCTCTGGGTCCTTAGGAGGCAATGACTGAGGCTGGGGGCTCTGGGGACTGGCCGAGTGCCCTCCCTGCTCCGCACAGCTCAGGGACACAGCTCAGTCTCCTCCTAAGGCAGCCTCACCTCCTGGAGTGCCAGCACCTTGTTCCTACTTCTTCAGGTAGCAAACGCCCCACCCCACCCCACCAGGTGGTGGGGCTTATGGTCAGGAGCTGTTGGGATGGAGTCCAAGTGCCGACAGCAGTGTCCCCACTGCTGAAAAACTCGGGCACAGAGCCAGGGACACAGAGAGAAGCAGCAGGGGTGTGGGAGACGGAGAGATGGAGCCCTGCCCGGACCCTGGTTTCCGTCGTTCCTGAGAGCAGCTCAACACTCGCTATGTCTGAGCTTCTGATATATGTTTTTTAAGATCTTTTTTCTTAAGCTAGTCAAGTTGGGTTTTGATGTCTTGTGCCCATGAGAACCCCAAATGATGCGCGCGTGCACACACGCACACACACCCCCACACACACACACCCCAAGGAGGGTGATTCTGTAGTGAGTTCCTGGTTCTGGGGCGTGAGAATTTGGACATCATCACTGCCCAGGGAACACACTGCTCTGAGTACTCCTGGCTGAGGAGGGACCAGGAGCCTCCCTGGGCCCCACCCCAGTGCTAGCCTTCCTCCTCCTCCTCTTCCTCCTTTTCCTCCTCCTCCTCCTCCTCCATCCAGGCGCCCTAGCTCCTTGCCGCGCTCCCCCCTCAGGGGCTGGGGCTTCCTGGGAGCTGTGACTTGGGAGTCCAGCCTGCGCTCCCCCCTCAGCACAACTGCTTAGATCTCCCGTGGGGCTGCTGGGCCTGGAAACTACCTCAAGGTCGGGGAGGGCGGTCATGAAGACTGTCTGAGGGAAACAATGTTGCCTCTCTTAAACGCTGTTGTTTAAACCATCTTAATAATGAAAAATGTCTGAGGAAAATGACGTCGCCTCTTTCAAGCCCCCCTCACAGCAACGATGCCCTTGGACTCGGTCACTTTGTGCCATATGACTCACGGGTCCTCACACCAAGGGGAGCTTCGCTTCACCTGAGGAGAAACAGTCTCATCTGAGATGTGCCCCCACATGCAAACACACACGTACACGCGTTCAGAATGTTTCCCTTTGGTTCCCCTTCTCAGCTTTACTGAGGTATATTTGACAAATAAAATTCTATATGTTTAAGATGTACAATGTGATTTTTTAAAGGTGTGCACCTTTAAAATATTATGATTTAATATACATATACATATATACATGTATGTATACACTGTGAGATGTATGATTTTTTTTTGTGGTAACATTGGTTTATAACATTGTATAAATTTCAGGTGTACATCGTTATACTTCTATTTCTGCATGGATTACATCATGTTCACCACCCAAATGCTAATTACAACCCATCACCACACACACGTGCCTAGTCTTCCCTTTCACCCTCCTCCCTCCCCACTTGCCCTCTGGTAACCACCAATCCAATCTCTGTCTCTATGTGTTTGTCTGTTGTTGTTTTTATCTTCTACTTATGAGTGAGATCATACGGTATTTGACCTTCTCCCTTTGACTTATTTCGCTAAGCATAATACCCTCAATGTCCATCCATGTTGTCACAAATGGCTGGATTTCATCATTTCTTATGGCTGAGTAGTATTCCATTGTGTATATATACCACATC